TCACCAAGATTTTAAATAATTGGCTTAGTACTATACTGCCTCTTCTCAGCAGAGTGGCTCATTTCTGGCCGCCTAATTGGAGACAATATTTTATTGGGTCAAGAGCTTCTCCATACCCTGAATACCAAAGTTAGAGGAGGCAATACTTTGCTGAATCTTGATATGTCATACGACTAAAGCATATGATCGCATAGATTAGAGTTTCCTTTATTCCATTCTTAATGAATTTGGATTTGATCGGCTATGGATTGATAGGATCAGGAGATGCATATCCGACGACATGATTATAGACAAATAATCTATCGTGAGGCTTCTTGATTGCTTGGTCTATTACGAGGGCGTCTTTGGTCAGTTGGTGAATTAAGATAAGTGGTCTTATTCTGCCTCAGAAGGCTTCCATTAGCTAGATCAAGAGATTAGAACACCTGACTGGCTTTAGAAACCAGCAGCAACCTTACCTATCTTGAGGTTCGCTCTACAAGGGGCTAAATGAATTTTCATATATGATGAACTCATTCAGAAGTTCAGGAGTAGGATATCTGCATGGGCCCTTTGTTTATCATTTTTGGGGATCGGATTACTCTTGAAATTTGTTCTTTCCTCTGTACCTCTTTATCTTCTTCAGATCTACAGTCTCCTAAGGCAGTATTGAAGAATTTGGAAATAATTTTTTCACGATTCGTGTAGGACTCTAAATATCAGGTGCTTTATCTTCATTGGAGGAGACGGAATGATCTTTGCATCCCTACTAATGAAGGTGGGCTCGGTTTCAGGAGATTGTATGACATTATGGACACCTTTTCCTTGAAACTTTGGTGGCTCTTCCGCTCCCAGAGAGCACTGGGCCCAGTTGCTACTAGCAAACACTGCATGGGCACTTACCTTATGCTTGCTTCAACCCATATAATGCTTCACCAACCTGGAGGAGGTTGAAGCTTGCGGGCCCTAAGGAGCTACATATCGCGTGGTAACTTGGAGATGGACATATCTTCTAATATGATTGCTGGATGGGAGAGGCTATCTTGGCATCCTTGTTCCAAAATTGTCAACACTCTATTGCTATAGTGTAGGATTACTATGATGGCTCTGGATGAGATATTAGTTGACTATTACAGGTTCTTCCACCCCCTATGGTTGAGCTGATTAGAGTTATTTCTCTTAGGAAGAATGTTCCGGATCATATTTTCTGGAGGGACACTCCATATGGTAGTTTTGGTACCAAATCTATTTGGCAGTTAATTCGCTCCATTCGATAGCCACATGATTCATATCGACTGATGTTAAGTTCCATTATTTCTACCATAATTTCTTTCTTCAGCTCGAGATTATGACATGATTTGATTCTGGTCGATGTGGTCATTCAGCGGAGCGTTGTCTATCATTTGTCCTCTCGTTGCCGTGTTATTCGGAGATTGACTAATACACACATTTTCACTGGCAGTAACATCTTTGATTAGGTATGGAAGCGTTTTTGTGATATTTTAGGTGCCGATTAGATCAAATGCATGAGTTAGACCTCTGTTCTAGAGATGGAGGTATTCGTGTTAGTATGTTCGTAAGGGACACATTCACACTATTATCTGTCTATTGATTTTTTGATTTTTGTAGCTTGTGATAACGGTATACACATGGACTCTAGAAATATCATTTGGAGAGTCTTTCGAATGATTGCATTTCTTTACATGGATCACCTATTGGTGCGGAAGCGTTTAGAAA